ATTCCTAGAGGAAGAATGCTGTTTTTTACACCAATCAGTCTGCATAGTAAGGGGTGGAGCTACAAATTTCATTGATAAAGCCTCGAAAGTCGGACAACAGCTTTCAGAATCTTGGGGCACCTGGCTACAGAATCTTAACTGGGTCTCCTGGCTTTTACCTCTAGCAGGGACCCCTCTTAATGCTCATACTGGCACTCATCTCCGGCCCTTGCTTATGAAACCTCCTAATGCGTTTTGTTTCTTCTTGAGGCTATAAAGCTGCAAAGGGTCCTGCAAATGGAACCACAGATGGAGGCTGCCAATTCCTTCTTCCATGGACCCCTAGATCGCCCACCTCCGATGGAACCCAGACTGCTGCTTCCAGCCAACGCCTCCACTCAGCAGAAGCAGCTAGAGTGGTCCTTGCCTCTGTTCCCAATAGCAGTTGGAGTTTCCTAATCAGAGGGGGGAAGGAAAGGAGTTAAAGCAGAATTAGGTAGATAGGGTGAGGGGTGGAAGAAGGAGAAATCGTGGAGCTAGATGAAACAAACAAACAAAAAAAAATGTGTTTTTGCAGAAAGCAGGATGGAGAGCAGAAAAACAGGGTGTTTTGAAACGAGGATGGCGGCACAGATAGACAAAGGGCAGGCCTTTAGCCGGTATAAGGGGAAGAGCAGAATGCTTTGGGGGCAACCCATTTGAATCTCCCTCCTTGTTTGAACGCCTCTGACCCGCAGCTTCATTCTTCGATTCCGTGAGACAAGACCCGGGAAAAATTCCTGCTCACCGTTTCCACTTCCGGTAGCATTAGGACCCCAGCACTGGCTGGGCTGGTACGACAGCTGTGTGGCCTGGGGACAGGCATCTCACCTCTCTGGGCCTCCTTTCCTCATCTGTGAGATAAAGACAATAGTAGTACCTGGCTAGAGAGACTTGATTGATGGTTACGTGAGCTAGAAAAGGGGCAAAGTCATAAACATTTGGCCTGACACAGAGTGGGCCTCAATAAACATTAGCTCTTCTGGCAGCTTTCATCACATCATCAAAGAAGTTCAGGTTCCTGAAGAGGTTAAAGATCACTACAGATATTACTACTGTGCCCAGGCACAGAGGAGGAAACTGAGGATGGGGAAAGCTAAGCCAGTAATGAGAGAAAGAGCCAGACCAAGGAGTGCTGGGGAGGGAGAAATGAATTCCAACCAGGGGGAGAGGTGACACCTGAGCTGGGCTTTGAAGGATGGGTTGAATTTCACCAGGCAGATAGGGGGGCGAATGTCTCAGGAAGTAGGAACAACATGGCAAAGAAACAGAAGGTGGGTGGTTTAGGCTTGGCCTGCAGAGAAGCAGGGCATGGGAGAGTGAGGGGTTAGTATTGGGGGAGATTTTGAAAGCTTCAATAACTAGTCTGGATAGATTCTATGTGCAGCAAGATACAAACCGCCAGGTGACTAACACTGCCCCCAGGTACCCTTGTACCTCGGGGTTCCCCATCTGGAAGACGGGAACACACCTGCACTAAAAGGAACTAAATAGCTCCTACCAGACAAACAGAGAAGGTAAGGGGACCTCACCTGTTGACTGCCCTCTTTTGTTTAAACATGATGTCATCATAATTCACCAGGAATCATGTTCCTCCCTGCCTCCTCCCCTTCTTGGGCAGAGACAGATGGTCTGAAAGGCGGTTGTGTTCATGATGCCCAGGGGGAAGGAAAGATGCCAGGCCTGCAGGCTGCCCCGATACTCACAGACCCTACGGATCCATCCAGGCCCCCACGGCTTCATGGCAAACGGCTCTGGGAACTCCAGCGTGCACTCTGGTTTTCTCTTGGATGAAATGGATGCCTGCACGGCAGTGTTGGTTGGAACCGGATTTCCCCACCACGTGGTGATGAAATAGAGCACACAGCCTTTTCAGTAACAGGAGTTAAAACCTGCATAGTAAACTACCTGTTCATCATAAACAGATCGCACTGGCTTAATGACCCAGGTGTGAGCAGACATTAATCCGGAGGGGGTGTGGTGTAAACTACCTGAGGGCAGGGATTGGGCTTTTCTCACCCAGGTCACCCTACCACACCTCACTTTGTGCCTTTCCCCTTGCAGGCACGCAAAACGTGTGCCGCTGCGTGCTTGTGTAAGTGCATCCAGGGGTATCATGATGTGAAATTTCGCTTTTTGCAAGGATAAAGTAGAAAATTTTATCCTCTTACTTTGAGAGAGAGAGAGAGGGAGAGAGAGAGGGAGAGAGAGACTTTATTCCAATTTACAGGCCTCTTCCTCAGATGTTACTTCCCCTGGAACTTCTTAGGTACCACGGAGCCAAGTTGGATGTGCATCCCCTTCATGGTCTCCTATCTCCCTGTGTGAACCTTATCTAGCCACAGCGTTGTAATTGCCTGTTTATTTAACCATCTTCCTCATGGGATTCTAAGTAAGTCTTGAAGACGGGCTTATTTTACCACTGCATGCCCAGCACATAAGTCATCCAAACAATGTTAATTTAGTTGAACTGAAAGCATTCCTTTGAATTGCAAACTATGGAATTAAATATATGCCTATTCTCTCTTTCTCTCTCTCTCTCTCTCTCTCTCACACACACACACACACGCACGCACGCACGCACCTCCCAAATTCAATTTACAAACAGCTTTTCAGGGATCAATCTACTGTGCAAAATTCAGGGCTCATTCTCTTTGAGAATATAACGATATTTGACCTTTTCATCATGTCCACCTTCAAGCAAAAGTGACAGCTTTGCTGAATATAGAGCCAGGTGCATAGGGAACAAAAGAGCTAGCCCCAGAGGTTGGAATGAAGGGTTCCTGGATATGTTCCAAAAGTGCCTGGTAGGAATTGCCCAGTGGCTTGTTATGATATAGATTCTCATTGTTTTCTATAGACTGTGGAGGGTGCGGCCTGGGGATATGTATTTTTAACCAGTGCCTTGGATCATTCTTGCTGTCAAGCAGGATTGAAAAGCACTGTTCATCCTATCATTGGCCTGCATTGTGTTCCCACTAGAAATAAAGACCAGTGATCAGGTACCTACTAGGTGCCAGGCACTACTCTAGTTATTTGACATTATTTCTACTCCTTAGAACAACCCTGTAGAATAGGTATCATTGTCAATATTTGACAAACAAGGAAACTAAGCCTCAGAGAGGTTTAATTACTTATACGGGGTCCCACAGATCAGCGTGGCAAAACCAGGATGTAACCCTGTCTTTCTTGCGATTATGCCCTGGTGTCCCGCCCTTTGACATTTATAAATAAGTTACTATAAAGTTCTCGATGCGTTGGCTGTTATTATTACTTTTATTATTACTCCCTGAGCCTCCGTTTTCTCAATTCTAAAATGGGAAGGGACAGAGGACACAAGACTTTCTACTTCATCCCCCAAGAACCGGGAACAGGCAGACAGCCATGTTTAATGGCATGTCCACCACCCCACCAGGAGGCAGGCCTGCTGGGCACCAGCCTGGAACCAGGTCACCAGCCCCGCAGGGAGTCCATTCAGCCTGGCAACCCTCCGTTTATTTTAAAAGCCACCACGAGAGCAAACCATTCTCCAAAGCCCTCCTAAGCGGAATGGAATGTTTCTTGGGAGTCTGATTAGCTAATGTCACAGGCATGGCTGCCCTGAGACCTTCCTGCTTCACAGACTTGCACTGAATCAGAATGGAAAGGAAGACTTAGAAAGTTCTTTCTTAAAAAAAAAAAAAAAAGTAGCACTTCATCTTTATAATAGTAACAGGATGTTTCCTGTGGACTAATAACTGAGCTGTGGTCAGAACTCCATGTTTGTCCACCAGACCTCAGTTCCTCCCTAAACAGAGCCTTAATCACCTGCCCGTGCAGAGCCAGGGAGTGCCTTGGCAATGCCTCTTGTGTTTCTTCAAGCACTTGCAACATTAGCATTTTCCTAATTCGTGTGCGTGTGTCAAGACTGAAAACAAAGTTTCGCTCCCAAAGAAGCAGTTGCATGTGACAGAGTTTCAGTGTAGGCATGAAAGCCTCTTGTAGCCAGCTCGGGGTCTGGAGAACAGGGACAGAGCCACTGCCCTCCCAAGTCCCACCCTCTCCCACCCCTCAGCCACAGGCGTGAGCCCACTGCCCTCTGCGCTCACAGCCGTGAAGCTCCCAGTGAGCCCAGAACCTCCATGTTCTGGCAAGACAGATCCAGGCCCCACGGTCTTAGGGCACCTGGAAACACAGGGAGTGTGTGATAGGAGACCTCAGGGACAAGGGGACTTTTGTCCAGGGCTTGAGAACAACTTCTGCACAAAGACCAGAAGTGGCAGGCAGGGGCAGGAGGCCGTCAAGCCTGCAGCAGAAATGTCACCTCAAACAAAGAAAGGGCTGCAAGGTATAAAGACAAGAAGAGGGAGAGGGAGCAGGAGGCCCACTGTCCCAGGGCTTCTTGGCAGCTGGGTCCTTCCAGGCTTGTTAACGATAAATTAATGTCGTTCAGGTTTGAGAAGAATTGTGTGTTTTTTCCCTCAGGTTAAAAAATGTCTTAATCACACTGTGCCGGATGTATAGAATACCTGGGTCAGGGTTAGGGTAAGAAATTAGGGTGAGAAATCAACTTGTTAACAACTATGTAGTGGAATCTTGCCAGTAGAGAAGACAATACCCTGCAATCTAAATAAGCAAATAAAAATCATGTAGGGCACTAGAGTTACATTATGTATATAACTGGTATATGAACATATATGTCATATTTGATTGACATAGCAATAAACTGTAGTGGGTATGAGTATGGACTCTGGAGTCAGCTGCCTGTGTTCAAATCTTAGTCCTGCCATTTATTAGCTTTGTGACCTGGACAAGTTACTTAAGTTTTCTGTGTCCCAATATCCTTACCTATAAATGAGGACATTCTTGTATAACATCTACCTCATGGGATTATTACTAGTATAAGTACTTAAAAATAGTTAAAGTGCTGATAGTACTGCCTAGAATAAAGTAAACACCATGTAATAAAAGATGTTATTAAAATAATTTTTTGACAGATTAGAGGCAGGGTGGCATAATGGGAAGAGTATGTGCTTTGGATCAGATGATCATAGGTTCAAGTCCTATATACTTGCTACACATTTTGGCCTTCAGTTTCTCACATAAGGAATGGGATGGTAATTCATTGCCGTGAAGATGACAGGAAATGATACATGCAAAGTGCCTGGCATGCATTCCAGGTGCCCCAAGTGGTAGAAGCATAGTGATTAACAGAAAGAGAAGGCGATCAGGAGTCAGAGCCCTAAGACTTTATTAACCAGGTATCAGGGCACTGACCAGTCAATCCTTTGGGCTTAGTTTCTTCCTCTGCAAAATGGGGGTTAGATTAGTGTATCGGTCAGGATGAGCTAGCTTATGCTGCAGCAAAAAAACATCTCCCAGATCTCAATGACTGAAAAGAACAAACATGTATGTGTCGTTCTCACTCCATGTCCCCACAGATCCGCTGAGGGCTGGGCTTCACATCATCCTCACCCGGGAGCCATCTGCTGGAGCAGATACTCGCTGAAACTTTGCCAGTTGCTGTGGCAAAGGGAAAAAAGAGCTTTGGAGAGTCTTGAACCATAAATTAAATACTCTGTCCTGGAAATGACACTAATCTTCCTCACTCACAGATCATTAGCCAGAACTAGTCATGTGGCCCCACCCAACTACGAGGGGCCAGGAAGGACAATCCTACCATGTGCCCAGAAAGCACAGCTAGAAATGCCTGGTGAACAGTGATCGTGACCAGCACAATGATACAGCCTCTAAAATCTTGCTATTAAAAGTGTGATCCACCCTAACCGGTTTGGCTCAATGGATAGAGCGTCAGCCTGCAGACTGCAAGGTCCCAGGTTCGATTCTGGTCAAGGGCGTGTACCTTGGTTGCAGGCACATCCCCAATAGGAGGTGTGCAGGAGGTAGCTGATCGATGTTTCTCTCTCATCGATGTTTCTAACTCTCTATCCCTTCCCTTCCTCTCTGTAAAAAATCAACAAAATATATTTTTAAATTCTCTAAAAATAAATAAATAAAAGTGTGATCCACTGGCCAGCAGCATGGATGTCCCGGAAGCTTGTTAGAAATGCAGAATTTCTGGCCCACCCAGACCTATCTCAATAGTTATTTTGTGTCACCTTAGGTAGGCCACAGGATGCCGGATAGCTGGTTAGACATTATTTCTGGGTGTGTCTGTGAGGGAGCTTCTGGAGAGATTCACAGTGGAATTGGTGAACTGAGGACACAGGTGGACCTCCCCACTGAGGGTGGGCTCATCCAATGTGCTGAGGGCCTGAAGAGGACGAAATGGTGGTGGATGGCTCAGTTCTCTCTCTGCCTGACTGCTTGAGCTGGAGCATGCATCTTCTGCCCTGCTCAGGCCTTCACACCCAGACTGGAATCTACACCTTTAGGCTGCTGTATTTCAGATCTGAACTATACCACCTGCTCTCCTGGTTCCAGCGGGAAGATGGCAGATCCTGGGGCTTCTCAACCTCCATAATCACAGGAGCCAATGCTTTATTTCATGTACATATAATACCTAGGATATATTTCCTACATTACACACACACACACACACACACACACACACACACACACACACGCACACATATACTATATTTCCTCCTTATTGGCTGTGGGTGCTGCCATCTTTGAGGGTGAGCAGTCAATTAGCATATTCTCTCCTTATTGGCTGTGGGCACCGCCATCTTTGCGACAGCATGAGGGTCAATTAGCATATTCCCTCTTTATTAGATAGGATTTTATATACTACTAGGATATATATATATATACTAGAGGATATATATATATACTAGAGGATATATATATATATATATATATTATATATATATATACTAGAGGATATATATATATACTATAGGATATATATATATACTAGAGGCCTGGTGTGTGAAAATTCATGCAATGGAGGGGGGATCCCTTAGCCTGGCCTGCCTCCTCACACAGTCTGGGAGCCCTCAGGGGCGGGAGGTAACCCAGAGATCAGGGGAAGGCAACGCCCCATCACACCTCTGCTGCTGCCACTGCCGGCAGCACAAGCCTCGGCCGGCCCTGGTTACCTGAACCTCGGGCAGCCCTGGGCGGCTGGGCAGCTGCCATCCAAGGCTTGACTGCGCCTTGGGCTGGCTGTGGGCGGCTAGGGGGCTAAGGGGACTAGGGGACTCCAGAGGCAGGCATGCGGCAAGGCCCGGCGGGGCTGAGGGGACTGGATGCCCCCATCTTGTGACTGGGCGCCGCCATCTTTGAGGACAGGGCAGTCAATTAGCATATTTCCTCCTTATTGGCTGTGGGTGCTGCCATCTTTGAGGGTGAGGCGGTCAATTAGCATATTCCCTCCTTATTAGCTGGGGGCACCGCCATCTTTGCGACAGCATGAGGGTCAATTAGCATATTCCCTCTTTATTAGATAGGATATATATATACTACTAAATATACTTCTCTGAGAACCCTGCTTAATACACCTATTAAATCAGACTGAATTTTATCAAGCTCCCCAGTAGATTTCTAAAGACATTCAAGTTTGAGACGTGCTGGCCTAATCTATTGGGTAGCAGGGCAGCAAACTGCTTAAGAGCCCGACTCTCAGCCTTTATCGGTGGATTTGGTTACCACGCTTATTCCTGAGCCGCCCTCAGAGACTCCGGCTCCGAGTTCTGTTTCTCACTGGAATTAGAGCCCAGGAATCTGCACCCAGCAGCACAGGTGCAGTTAGCTTCCTCCCACCACACTTGGAGAAAATCCTCTCAGGTTCATGCTAAGTCTGTAGGATTTTTTTTTTTTTCCTATAAAGCACATGAATTTTAAAAGGCCTAGACTCTCACATAGAAGCAGAATACCTGAGAGTCTCCTTTCACTTACTTAGAAACTCTAATCTAAGGTAGGGAGGTGGTAAAGACCTGAGTAATAATACCTATTACCATTATTGGCAGCTCTGTCCCAGGCTCCGTCCCAGGCTCTGTGCAAACCACTTTAAACACTTGATCTCCCTTCATCCTGACCACAGCCCTTATCAGGGGCCCTGTTCTAACCCCCATTTTATAGTTAAGGGAACTACAGAGCATACAGTTTAAGGAACTTGCACAGGAGGTGGAACCAGGAGGCAGACACAGATCTGCCTGGAGTTAACCACTACGTGATGGCTTCCAGGGAGGCACCCTAAGCAGGTCCTTCTGCAGAACTCCTTGCCCACCCTGAGCGTCTCCCACACGGTTCTTCAGCCTTTTGCCAAGGACAGCATGACACAGAGACTCCTGAATTTCCTGCATGTACACAGTAAATGAACAATTTCAAGACAGACGAATTCCTCAGCTCCCTAGATTCTTATTCATCTGTTGCTGTCATTTCCTCTCATTGACATTTTCATCAGGCATTTTTTCTGAGCCTTGCATCCACTCTGCTGAAAAACGCCGCTGCTCTTCGAGTTTGTCATTCTGAGATTCAGGGAATTGTAGAATGTGATACATGACAATGAACCATGGAGGCCGCCCAGACCAGCCTGCTCATGCTACCAATGAAGAAACTGAGGCACAGAGAGGTTAAGTGATTTGCGAATGGGTCACACAGCAGGCCTAGGTATCAGGGTGCGTTAGCAATAAGGTTTCTGTCCTGTGATCTACTGGACTCTGCTCCCTCTCTCTGAGTGATGGGCAGGGAAGGAAATAAAATCTCCCTCATTCTGGGCCTCCACCCTTCTCCATTGACTGTCATTTGTTTCTGGGCTGTTAAGAAATGTCAATGTGCTTGATTTACTAGTAACCAAAGCTTAGCAGTCTGCAGTCACCAAAGACATACAGAACATGAAGCATTTTTGCATCGAGCCTCTAGGCCTTGGACAGCAAGTTGGGCTGGGCTGGGCTGGGCCAGTTTCTGACTTGGCCATCACCCTAAGCTGAGAAATCTAGAGTTGTAGGCCAGCTCTGATCCCGGTGTAGGTAAGGCTACAGCAGGTATCCTCAAGGTCTCAGCTTTTCTGGCAAAGCTCCGTTTTCCTTGCTCTGATCCCTTCTGACACATTGACAACCTGGAGACTCATTGTGCCTGGGGCGCGACATTCACAATGCAGAGCTTTAACCTACACGGGCAGAACAGTGAAGGGATCCTGCCCCACTCCCTAACTCAACCTGCCATGTTACTGGGAGGATCCCTGGCTCCTGGCCCCCTGGCCTTCAGCACCAACCTGAGGCAGGTGTGTTCTCTGCACACTTGGACCACAGCAGATGTTAGCCAGACAATGTGACCCACTCTCAAAGCTGAAAGGGGGTTTAGTGGTCGTGCATTCAACCCCTGACTTTAATGATGAATAAATGAAGGTCCAGAGAAAGACAAGGACTATATAAAGCCATGGAGAAGTTTACAGGAAAAGTCAAATGGGGACTGGATAGGAGGTGAAATATATATACACACACCTCCATATACATATACATGTCCTACCATTTTACACTTGATCTTAGCCAAAAGGCCAAGAAGCGATTCTGCCATTTTAAAGTTTACAGAGTTCTTTCACATACAGTCAGGAACAAGACTCAAAATATTTTCCCCCGTTAGGCCCGGGCTCTGATGAATCAGGACAGGCACCCGCCTACAGCCCTACACACATGAACACCCTTGGCCCTCTCAACAATCCTGGGACGTGAGCCCTGTTCATATTCCCATCTCACAGATGCGGAAATGGAGGCTCAGAAAGATGGACGTTTAGCAATGTTCACCATCTGAGCTAATACCTGTGCTTGCTTGTTTGCAGGTTACAGAGACAACTTAAGCAAAAAGGGGAGCTTGATTATGAGACCACTGAGGTGTCTGGCAGACCCCAAGGCAGGCATATGCAGGGCCTCTGCCAGGCCTGGCACCAAGACTGGAAAAGCCACCAAGAGCCCAGGCCAGTGTGTCTGCACACCTGCCTCTGCTTCTCTCCCGCAGGCTGCCCTTCTCTGCATTGCTTGCACTTCTTCCCAGTTTCCTCACCTCTGTTTCAGGTTTTGACAGTGGCTCATAGTGCATTTCAAATCCCAATCCCCAGAAGGAGTCTGATTGACCCAGTTTGGATCCCATGCCCACCCTTGTCTAATCAATCAT